GAGAGAGAGAGAGAGAGAGAGAGAGAGAGAGAGAGAGAGAGAGAGAGAGAGAGAGAGAGAGAGAGAGAGAGAAGCAAAGTCGAGCGTGGATAGTCGAGGTCGAGTGCGAGCATAGGAGTCGAAGTCGAGCGCAGTAGCCTAGAGTCGGGTCGTAGAGAGTCGAAGTCAAGCGCAGTAGCGTAGATTAGCATCGTAGACAGTCGAAGTCCGCAATAGCGAGAGAGAGAGAGAGAGTCGCAAAGTCGAGCGTAGATAGGCGAGGTCGAGCGCGAGCATAGGGAGTCGAAGTCGAGCGCAGTACCCTAGATTCGGGTCGTAGAGAGTCGAAGTCGAGCGCAGTAGCGTAGAGTAGCATCCAAGTCATGCGCACCTCCCCCAAAAAAGTTTGTTAGATGTGGCCCTGCGCGGCTGGGGAGTGTGAATTTGCTCAGGTGCCGCGCGCGGCACTACCTGGGCCTGGGAGGCGCGAATTTGCGGCCGCCTCACTGAAAAAAGTTTGTTACTGTTACAACGCCAGGGCCTACCGGCCTAGCACGGCACTACTGTGGCCTGGGGAGTGCGAATTTGAGCTGGTGCGGCACGCCGCACTACCGGGGCCTGGGGAGTGCGGATTGGTACAGGGCCGATAGGCCCGGGCCCCGTAGTACCGCGTGCGGCACTACCGGGCCAGGGACTGCTGGCCCAGCTACCAGCACAGCGATTCTCTCGAAAACGATCAACACGCAATCTGGGCCTTGCGGTACAACGCCAATGAAGGTGCAGATCGCCAGTTGATGGCATTGAAACGATCAGCAGCCAATCTGAACCGTCGCACGCCAAGGAAACGAAGGCCCCAGATCGGCTGCTGGTCACAAGGTATGAAATAGCCATTGTTATAATTGTACTGATGTCTTGCTGCACCTTGCCCTCCGAATGACTCAGAGGATGGTCTTCCTCAATAGCTCTGCTATTTTTGTATCCTCCTCCTCCACTAGGCCTTCTCTGTCTATCGCAGGATGCACCCGCCCTAAGTGAAGGCAGGCCTGCAAATTTGAACGTGGCCTGAGAACAGGCCGATGTGAGCTCCATGCAGATTCTGGAAGGTCCCTGGGCACAGCGACTGGGACTGAGAGCACCCGGTCCAGCCAGGCTGCGTGCGACCACCCAGCGCCGAAGGAAGAGCCTGGGTTCATTCTACACATTCTGGCTGGCTGAACAGGGCAGCGCTGCTGGAGGTTCGCTCGTGAGGAGGAAAGCTGGATCAGAGAAGCAAGGGGTCCAACCGGGAGCGCTCCGCCTCCCGGAGGGCCTTGCACTCCGGGACTGTGATTGTGACGCGACATGGGCTTTGCGAAGAATAGGAAAGCGCGTTGGTGGCCATCGCCTGGAAGGGCAAGAGCAAGCTGTGACGGGGTGGTGGGACTTCTGCTCGTGGATAGTTGGTTTGCAAGATGACGGGTTGTGGAGTTTTTGCCGCGTCATCGAGTTTTGGTATGGTTAGGACGACGGATGATTGGCTCTCTCTCCTCCTCTACGCTGGGATTGCTTTGCGACACTTAGTAGCGCTTCTGGTGACTCAAACCCCTTATGGCGACTCGCCGGCGGGCTTGGCCGGTTTGTGCTACGACATCTCTTGCTTCACAAGTGGAAGTGGGAGGTGCCTGTTTTGTGCTTCGTAAGCTAACGGGAGTGCTTCACTTGTTCTTCATTTTGTTTTTTTAGTTTTTTTTTTATAATATGTTAGTAAGAAGTGCACTCTATACATTGGTATGAAGTTTGCTTGAAATGACCTTACGGTTTTCTTATAAATTGAGGTGAAAAATGGGGGGTCGGTTAACCATCTCTCCAAAGTGGGGGTCCCCGTTAACCAATAGTGGGTTAGCAGGGAAAGGGGAGGTTTGCTTCCCTCTCACGAAGACGCTAGGGGGTGTGTTTGGGCGAAGGAAGTGCAGTGGCATGAGGCAATCACAGGAGCGATAGGATTAAAACGAGGGTGGAGGAGAAATTTTGGTACGGCACCCGCGACGCCGTGATGGACTGTGAGGTGGGTGGCAGAAAGGGTTTGATACGAGCTCTCATAGTTACGGCAACGTGGGAGGTAGCCGCTTTCGAGTTGTTCGTTGACACTTGCACTGCTTAATCATTGCCTCCGGGGGGTTCTAGTAGATTCTATGTGTTGATTCACTGATTCTAAGTTTCATTTTCAGATTGCCTAATGTTAAAATTTGTGAATGGGTTGGTTTCAAAACACAATTTGATCTCTGATGGAATGACGTGATTTAGGTCTTCTAGTAAGTTGATCTGAAGTGTGATCTTAATTTGTTGCTCATTCTCATGATCCAATTTTTTTCGCACGGATTGTTAGGTCTTGTGAATTCATAACGATGGACTTTAGTTGATGTCGTTCTTACATATCACAAATAAAATTCAAGTTCGATTTCCTAATTACATATCCTAAATAAATTCATAATTTATGAGAACGTCGTTCCAAAATCCGCAGGTTCTACCTGCTGAAATCTGAAATTCTAATCTCCTATAATTCCCTATTCCGTATAACTTTCTTTTTAATTTTTGTGTTCAGAGTGTTGAAATTCGAATCTCAAATTTCTAAAAAATTCTTCTACAATTCTTACTTCCGATTTTTACGTCATAATTTTGCCTCTTATTTTTGAATTTGAAACAACGTGTATCTGAGTTTATGCTGGTTGTAGTGGGTTGTTTTGGCGGTGATGGTTGGAGATAACGCGCTCTGTGGCGAAGGGGCTAGCGTGTAGGGCGGGAATAGGGTACAGCAGCGGTGGAGATGGTGTCTCAACCGCAGTAAGTCTTGCCGGAGTAGGGGTGAGAATGAATTTTGTTGGCTGATTGCAACCAGTGCCTAGAGGAGCTGGATGATGGAAACCATAACTATGGTGAGGATTGGTGGCTTGTCTGTTATCTGTTGACGTCCGTTGGTCCCAGTGGTCTGCGAATGGACGGGGTCAGAACGACGCTGGTTGGTGTTGGGGCTTGGTAGCGTTGCCCTGTAACTCGAGCTGTATGGGGGCATGAAACCTGGTAGAGAGATCTGGGGAGTCGTCGAGGGTGGAAGGCGCTCTACTGTCTGTTGGTGGGCTGGTTCTTAGTCAACGCTGGCCGGAGCCGGGCCGGGTCGCTCTGCCCTGTAGCCTAGCAGGTGGGGGGTTTCTGGGGTGGGTCGGGCCACCCTGTAACCTAGCAGTCGGGGTTATGAGGCCTGGTAGAGATTGAGTATTGGGGTTTCGGGCGGAGGCGGATAAGGTTGGGCTGCTGAAATGCACCGGGGCAGGTGGTTTTTGCTCTGAAAGCCTCGGATAATCTTAGTTAGTTTTTGTTTTCTTGACAAGTTGGTTGTTTGGTGGTCTTAAGAATGTTTTAGGACTCTGGGGACTCCTAGCAACTCGTTTTAGGTGGCTTCGATGCTGTTATACTCAATGATCTGCGGCTGTTCGATGCCAGAACGACGCTGGCCGGTGCTGGGGTGTTGCCCTGTAACCTGCTGATGCAGGAGCGTGAGGCCTGGTAGAGAGATCTGGGGATGTTTTGGGGTGGGCATTCCACGGGACAACCAAGGGTTGCTGCTGGGATGACGCTGCTCGGAGCTGGGGTGAGTTGTGTTGCCCTATAACCCAGCAGGATGTGGGGGTGTGAGACCTCGAAGAGCTAGGCAGGGAGTAAGACAGTGTTGGAGAACTTTGGAAGGGTTTGTTGGGGATTTTGAGGGTTTTGGAGCATTTGTAGGACCTTTGCGGTCTATTCCCATGCCTCCTGAATTACTGCAAGTGGTCTCAGACGTTTTCAAAAAAGAGATCCAGGTGAGTGGGAGAAGGAGATGGTGGGATATCACGCGTCCTAGTAGTGAGGGGCTTGCTGGTAGCATGGGAATAGGGTATAGCAGCAGCGGAGATGGTGGCTCTGCTGCAGTAAGTCTTGCCGGAGTTGGGTACAGGGGATTGATTGGTGGTGTTTGGGTCCTTTTCTGAATTTTGCATATCTTTCTGTTTCAAAAAAAGGGTGAGTGGGGTCTTCAAAAAAAGATGGTGAGATATCAAGCGTCCTACTAGTGAGGGGGCTAGCTGGTAGGATGGAAATAGGGTACAGCAGCAGCGGAGATGGTGGCTCTGTTGCAGTAAGTCTTGCCGGAGTGAGGTAAAGAGGATTGAGCGGGGGGTTCTGAGTCGTTTTCTGAATTTTTGCCTGTTTCTGAAGTTTGTCGTAGTAATTTCCTAAGGAGCCCCAATTTTTCTTAGCCAAAGCCGGGTAATGGCCCCGGTATCTCAACTTTCAAAATTCTATGTAAATTTCCATATGCGACGCTGGGCCCGGTTCCCAGCATGGGCTTTAAGCAAAAAAAAAAAAGAAAAAAAAAAGAGGGCACCGCTGGAGCGCAAGGAAGCTCCTGGGTGTGCAGCAAGGCGGAGCGCAGCGGCCCTGGCCAGGCTGCTGACACTCGTAGCTGGTGAAGGAGAGCGGTGGTTCTTGGGCATAGGGGCCTGTGAGGGGAAAACAGGGGAAGAGCAGTGTGACTGAGGCACTCATCTGGTGAACACAAAGTGGGCTGTTCACTCGGAGTCTTCATGCGTTGATCGGCCTGATGACCTTAATTGTAGACCTGTTGTAGCTAGGAGTCTAGGTCCATAGGAGCTATCTGTCAGTAGTCTGGGCGCTGAGCACCAATATAGGAGAGCTACATTGTTGACACTGGTGATTGGAGGGTAGATGGGGGCTTTCATTATCATGGAACTTCACTGCTCTGCTCGTGCCTATTTGGTGTTATCTGGGTTTGCAATCTGCTTTCAGTTTGGGGTCAAAGGTATCTGGATTTCCGTGGAATGCTGCAATCTGGTTTATTGTCATTCACATTTCTCATTTCCTTGCAACTGATATCATTCTTGTGGACCTTATCATGCTCATGATCCTCCTTAATTTTGTATCTACTATCTATCTGTCTCCTATCATGGATGTGTATGATCTTGTCATGCCCTCGAATTCCTCACAATTCGTCAAAAGAAGCTTTTCTTGCTTCACTATCATCAACTCACAACCAGAAAGTAAATGTCCTTTCACTCCTGAACGCAGTGAGATCTTTATTCGGCGAAGGACATGATCTTGCTAGCCCTTCCTTTTTCTTTTTCTGGATATTTGGTTTATTTAGTTCTGTTTATTACTGACTGTGCGAATTGAATTTTATTATTGTTATTTAATATATACTATTATCTGATTCAGCAATCATCTTGGCACCGTTTGTGTATGTGTCCTGCTTAGGGCAATTACATCGAGGCTGTTGCTGATTTCACAAGAGCAATAGAGCTGGACCCTAAGAATGCAGACTTCTATCACAATAGGTATCTAGCTACTAAGCACCATACACTCACTCACTCACCCCTGGGCCTGGAAACGAGGTCGAACGGATAAACTGGTGACTTGGTCCCTATAGGTTCCGAACCCACTTCATCTCATATCACTGTGGTGGTGGGTACAGCGTGAGTGATATGAGAGGAAGTGGGTTGGGAACCTGGGATCAAGTCCACAGACTCACAGAATTTCTCTGCATTTGTTTCTAGTCCCAGCGGTGTGTCTGGAGCTGGGTTAGGCCGATGTCCGGCCCAGACGGACCGGGCCAGATGGACGGGGGGGGGGTCCGTCCGGCAAAATCAGACGAGCCAGAAAACATCCCAGGAATTTTTTTTTTTTTTTTTTGAAGATGGGGTTGGAGTGCGCTCGCTGAGAGGAGCCCGAATCCGCAGAGAAACTTGTGAAAGTCGGGGGGGTGGGGTGGAGGGGA